CCAACTGAAAATCTCCAAGTATGAATGGACTCATCGTGCTTTCTCGCCTCCAGAAATATTCATATAAATACCGCAAAACTCAAAAGCTTGACAAGTTCATTACCGACCATAGGCCTCGCGTCGCGGAGACGGACTTCTGGTGTCCATCAGCGGCGGTGGATTGATGCGGCCTTCGGACTTGACTGATCGTTTCTCTTGCTCTTCATAAAATTGCTTCTTTTCTTCTTGCAATTTCCGTTTCTCCTCCTGAAATAACACAAACATGACAAAAGCCATGAAAGAAGAAAAGAAGTTTTGACATTACTCACTTCGATTTTTTGAGCCTCTATTTCGATCATCTTTTGCTTTTCAGCGATCTTCTCCTTTTCGAAATCAAGTCTTTCTTTTTCTAGCGATACCCTGCTAAGTTCTTGCGAAACCTGAAGCCAAAACAGTTATGATTTTCATGCGCCCGCTGCAAAACATCTATGCACTAAACTAACCTGGTGAATAGCTGCACTGTCAGTCGAAGTGGGAGCAGGTTGAAAGACTGGGGTGTAGTGGTTACCGGAAGACGGCGGCGCGGGATTATATCCTGAAGACGCCACACTGTATCCGGGACCGGGCAAGGAGCCTACCCCCATAGGCTCATGGTTGAATCCGGCAGATCCAGGCTTGTACCCACCGCCAACACGACCTGAGCGGGTCTGAGAAACGTCCCTAAAATATCCATTTAATTACTGAATATCCATGTAATTTTTAGTTTATTGTTTCAACAGAATCACATGAATAAATGCTATTTCATAAAAAATATTTGTTTTACAACTGCGCAGTGTTCAAAAGTGTGTTACAATGACATTGAAAAGAAACCATTGACATCAAAACTGAACGAATCTTCTTCTTCTTGTCTCACTGCATCGAAGTTGAAATCGAGTGTCAGTTGGGTCGAATAAGTGTGCGCTCTCATCAGTCCTTTCGATGTCATGTCGGTTCTAACGAGATCTTTGCGTCTTGTAGAAAGTTTTCCTTGAGGCCGCATGTCATCAGGCTTTTCATTCAGTATCCGCTTTGCAAGGCTGCTACCATCCAATCCTTCGCAATGGCCCAAACACCTTAAGCGCCTAGTTGGCAGTCAGTCAGTTATTTTAGCTGGTCATCCTAATCAATTAATGACAGTAGCGTCTGACACCAGATTGTACCACTTCATTCCTAATACTGACTTTGTAAACCTCATTTCCGTCACTTCCAGTTTTCTGTCTGTAAAGTCCAGACAACAAAGCAAGATGTTCAGAACGCAACCGCTGTATGTTCGCAGCTTGTGCTATTTCGAACATCTATGCTTTTCCACAGTTTCAGTAACTTGTTTCCCGCGGCTAATTCTTTCAAGTAGCGAACGCAGCCTCGCCAGACAGTATATTCAAATTTCCCAGTACTGTGCAAGCATTTCAGCTTCGGCGGAAGAAAATCCCAGTGTGAAACAGAGTTCTTCGATATACTTGCCCCATGTTACTCTTCGGCGTCTTCGGTGGTCTTCTGCTGATGGGTTTCGCCTTTCCTTCCGGAAGCATTTGAAAGACGTAACCAAATCATCGCAGCTGCTACTTCTCAATCTGAAGAAGAGCGGTTGTATACCAAGGCTCCCCTGAACATCTGAACTTTTGACCTTGTCGAGATGCGCAAATTCAGCCGTTCGTATCTGAGATCACAGTTTTTAGCCATGAGCCAGAATTACGACCGTACGTAAGAAAGGCCATGTGGATCCACTTGAAAACCGAGTGCTTAGTCTTTAGAATCAACTCTGCCTTAATCACAACGGATCAAGAGAGTTCATGCTGAACATCCAAAGTCATCTCGATTTACTGGTCGATCTCGTCTTTCTCAGTTGTCATTCGAATCAAGCAACAAAGCAGCGCTACAGAGGTCGGACGCTTGGCGATTCAGCTGACGCCATTTTAAATTGTAGCATTAATTTTCTTAGTCTGATGGTGATCCCGAAATACGGGTGAGGAAGGATGACGCATAACAAATTACTATGGATCATCTCGTCATGGATTTTCTTCACGTCGAAGGCAAAAAACACCTTCACACTGTAAAATCTGCATAATTTATAATTCATCATCCATGCACTGCAGGTGCTCAAATACTATGGAGTCATGGCCTGCTTAAATGGTCCCCTAAGCGACTAGAAGTAAGGGGATGGTGCCATTATGCCACTTCAATTCGGAATCAAAAAAGAAGTGTGTATAATTCTTAACTCTAAATTTTGGAATATTTCGAGTTAGCTTATTGCTTGCCGTCGAATAAACAGTTTCATGCAGCATGTAATGCTCCTTAGTGCAAGTCTGCTGATCAAGTTACGAGGCATTCAATTTGGTGGAACATGAAAAATAAGTTTGTGTCAAAAAATATTTAAGTTAACAAAAGACATGTATGACAGAGTGACAACGATAGTTCGAACTCCGTGAGGCGAAACGGAAGAATTTCTTGCGCTAGTAGGAGTTCAGTGTTCCGCACCAAGCTAATTTCTATTCATATTGGCGACAAACGAAGGAGCTAAATAACTGCATGCTCCATGCAGATGACGTTGTGCTGTGCAACGAAAACAGAGAAGCAAAGACCATGGCACTGAAAAGAGTCCCTAGGACGAAAAGTTCTTGGCTCACTAAGGAAATGTCAAAATATATAGCGGGCTGTTTCAGTGGGAAGAAGAGAGTGAAAGCCAACAAATCAATGAACGTAACGAGCAGTATGCTTCCCCAAACACAAGAATTAAAGTAACGTGGTTCCGTTCTACATTACAATGAAGAAATCGACAGTGAACTAAGAAATCAACAAAAACGCGTGCCTGAAATGGAGAGAAATGAGCGCAATATTGTAATAAGTACATCTCATCAAACTAATAGAGATGGTGTACAGAACAATAGTAAGACGAACTTTTGTACAGGGCGGAATGTTTTGCCACCCTGGAGAGACACGAGCAGCAACTGAATTCGGCAGAAATACGAATGTTCAGATAGACGTATGTCAGCGGAAATGAACACATCCGAAACAGCTCCATTAGAAGCATTCTAGGCGCAGCATCAATTTAGAAAAGCCATTTTGGAAAGTAGCCTTCATTGGTCCAGCCACGTGAAAGGAAAACGCGACGAGTTCATTGGAAATGTAGCCAAAGCACAATGCTGAAAGGGAGAAAAGAAGGGAAAGACCAAAGAAGAAGTGGCGCAGTGCTGTAAAGAATGATGTGAAGCATCAAGGAACTATCGAAGTTTTGAACAAAGACCGAAAAAGGTTAACTGGAACATCGCAGGAAACGCAATACTTTTTTATTAATTCAAAAACCGTGATAATTCGTAACTGAAAAAAATTATTCAGGGTTCGCAATATCAACAGATTTGGTTCTGAATAATTTGATTTAAAATTTTCCAGAAACACAATCCGTTTAAGAGTGTACTACTTCTGTCATCCAATACTGAATAGGTAACAGCATGATTGAAGTACAAATTTATGCACTTTGCGATAATTGATGGCAGTTACACGGGGAGGCCGGGTTATTTTCCATTTTACATTTGTGACTGGATGCTGCCTTGGGTCTGTACTTGGCCTTCAATGAACTTTGGATAATATAACGACCTTGGTCGAGTGTGCATTGATGAAAAGCATTCTTCATGCGAACCTTTCTTTGTTTGCGAAATATCTGGAGATGCTATGCAAAGCAAAGAACTAAGAAAAACTTATTGACCTCTGATCAGTTGTTTAGTTCATTGACTGATATTTTGCAATTTTACAGTGACTCTTTTGTACAATATATAAAGTGCGCAGCAAATGTCATAATCAGATGAGCCTTTTTCGATCCTCTGCTAAGAGAAGGCCTCTACAAAACTCTGCCAAAAATATTTGTTTTGCGAGTCTAATCCCTCCAGACTCCACTATCCGAAAGGAGAAACGGCCATGGAAGATGAAGATATCTCTGGTGTTAAAGAGCTTCATTAGGTCATCCTGAGATCTTCCACCACGCCGTTTGCTGTCTTTCTTTCTCTTAGAACCCTCTCTAATGCCTCTGTGATACAGCGATGGTCGGATCTAAGTGCAATGTGTTCTGCCTACTGTCACTTCAAATTTTTCCCTCGTGCAGTGACATAGCGCACACATATTTGTGTTCCTACCCACAAGCTCGTCTTCCCGTTCCTGTTATTATCAGCATACAACTTTGTTCAATGCAATGCAAAGCTGATGTAAGAGGTCTAAAGATGTCATTTGACATATTTCTGACGTTCGGTTCAGCAGAATAATTTTTGGGAAAGGAGTAATATCCATGAACTCTAGCCACTGGCAGCAGGGCTGACACAATGGCCGATTTTCCGGAACCGAACAAAACGCACGTCACTTGACCTATGAGCTGTATCAGAGAGTACAAATCGAATATTCCGACGTTCTTGTGATACAAAATTAAACTTTAGGGTCAGGTACTGTGATGCATGCTGTGTTGAAGAAAAATATTGTTATTCGCTTCCATCCTATGTGCTACCATGTGCACACTGCCATGGAATTTCACGAAGTATAAGAAAACAACCCACCACCAAGGAAGTCCCCGCGACGACATGGTACAGTGCTAACAGTTATCACGTTAACATTACTGTTGCACTTTGCGCTGTTTATTTCATTAATAAAAAAAAAATTTGTTCAACTTTCAGAATATACCCATTGCAACTGATTTCAAGATCATATCTGAAGGCAGTGTATATTGATTTGTTTTCATATTCATCATTCATATCTGAATGACTACTTAATAAAGAGTTCGATTTTCATAAACTTCGAACCAAATGTTACAGCACTGCCGTTTTAGGTGGTTAGTCGACGGTTTATAGTTATATTTTGCCTAGAAATTGCATAGTGTAAACAGTATTTCAAACTACGCCCGTCTGCAGCAGAAATGCACCAAAAATGTCCGTGAGATGTGCCATGAACAAATGACCGGCCTGGTAACCGTGAAACGAATCAGTTGTGCAGTCTATGTGAAGCAGCTGTCATAACAGAGTAGGCTAAATCATGAATTTGAGACAGCGCACGTACCCGTTCAGATTCCATGGATTCCCCAACGAGTTCCACACGTCACGTTCCCTGCTGTTCAGGCATCCGTTCAGCAACGCCTTCGTTTCAGGCGTCAGCGATGGATCGACGACCATATAGCCGATATTACGATTGAGGGCCCAGTGACAGGCGTCCAAAATCACCGTCAGCGGATCGAACAGAATATGTACCAATTCTGGGGCAGTGGGGTCGTGAATGTGGTCTTGCAATTTTCCCTGAAAGAACGAATAAGTACGTAACAACAGGGAGGCAACAGAAATTCGCTTCACAGCCATCCCTCCCTCTCAGCGTGGTGGCACAGAGCGAGAGAGGTCAGCTTCGATTCTAAAGGATGGCATTCTTTGTATTGACTAAGAATTCGTTTCAGCTAGGAATTTTCCATACGTTGCTTCAGATTGAGGCTGCTCAGTCGATAGAACAATTGACTCAGAACCGAGAGGTCGCAGTTCAAGCACTGGTCAGACATTCGCCCTACCGCCCTACTTCCCTTGAGGTTGATAAATGAGTACCACCGTGTGGGAAAGAATCAGGCGACTACACGTTATGCTTGCCACATATCAGCTGCTGAAATTGCCTATAAAAGTTACGGCACTCAGGGCTGTTGACCTGGTTATGGAGATCAACAATCGCGGCATTAAGATTCATGAAAAGGGCGTCAGAAACGGCCACATCCCAAAAGTACAAAAAAACCAACACTCTTACGATTACTAACTTTCCTTTCCTTGCCTCTCAGTGAAAGAATGCAAACTAACGCTCAACGTACCAGAAGGTTCATGCAGAACTTGAACATGTGCAGGATGGCGACGAACTCAGTCTGTGACGGCAGACGGGCACGCATCTGTAAGATGCCCTCACCCTGCGTCTTCCCAGACAATTTGCCGCGCTGCCTCTTGATCATCTCCAGTTCGCGATGGGCAGCGTACGCCGACTGAATGCGAGCTACGAAACGCTCGATGTCGTCGAAGCACTGGTTAAGCGTGTTCTAATAAGAATAAACCAAGCATTGCCGGTGGTGGTCATGCTCCCCCCGCGACAGCTTTATCATCACATACCACATCGCATTCGTAATACTCCGGCGAGAACTCGGCGGTGGTGGTAGCGCTCTGCGCCGGTGCCGCCGACTGCATGAATCTGCCCTGACCCAGGTCACCGTTGACATATATCGGATTCGTGATGGCGCCCATGACCGGCGTGTCACCCTTCAGATCTCTAAAACGATTTTCGGTGAAATTCGACTATCAACAAACAACACCGTCAATCGTTACATGTCGTAACGTCCCTGCAGATACATCTTGATGCGGTCGACGATGCTCCGTGCCTAGAGCAGCAAAGCACATCGCATTACATCGCCAAGAAAAAAGCATAATGCTATACCGATACGTCGCAGCACTGGAAAATGTGCATCTCGGCCGGAATGCGGGACAATGTGCCTTTTTCCTGTTCCACAACGAAAACCAACAGATTGTTGTACACATCCTTCGGGTCATTAGAAGTGTACGCTGTCGGATCTGTGATTAATTTCAGCGGAAACTGTTCTACTGCCATCTGCAAATATGACGTTTACCAAGTGACAATACAGTAATGCATCTAAAACTGACAACATTCCAAGGATGTCACGTCAAAGATCCACCGATCCGTGAACACAAAGGTTTCAGAATAAGGTCAAATTCAGTGCTTAAAAAATTGACGTACCGACAAGAAAAAACGATAACTTATGAGAAAAAAGGAATAGTCTAATGAAGCAACGCGGTCACACCCGAGAACTTTCTTGTGAACGCAACATCGTGTGCAATGGAGTGAACGACGAAAAGTTCCACACGATTTTGATTTCAGAAGTAAGTAGCAAAAAAGCATGACTACAGGGCTTTATTATCTTAATTAAATATATTTTAATTTTCGCTATTCTGACCGATTTAAAATAAGCGTTGCAGCA